AAATAATATAGTTTTTAGAAGCAAAAGTAGAATTGAAAACTAGTTCTCATCTACTTGAGCAGAGCTAATAGCTTGTTTAGTAGCAATCCTTTTGGTGCTAAATAAATATATAGTAGAAATAAGAACAGATAATGCTTGTACAATCTCTGCAATTGAGAAATATTTGAAAAAAGAAAAAGTATGAGAATAGCTAAAGTTTAAGAATAGCAATATTCTGCATATAATTCAAAAAACCTGCAAAAGCAAAGCATTATAACTGAGATTTACAAAAATCAAAAGCTATTCAGGTGATACTTATAATGACTTAGCAGATACCTTAGCAAAAGAGAGATTGCAAATAGTCTATACTACAAGATTAAATAATACTAGTAATAGTAGTATAAAGTATATACCAGAATAGAAAGAGCTAAATCTTAAAACTCTGCTAAGAGCATTCATTAAAAGAGTAGTTCAAATATTATTCAAAGTAGAATGAACATAGCTAAAAAAAAAAAGAATAATAATAGATACTAATTAAGAATCTAGAAACAAAACTAGAAAACTTTCAAAGGAATACTAAAAAGATGCCACAACTAGTTTCAAAATTCTGAAGTAAACTATTTACATCTTTTTAAGATCAAGTGTATTAAAAACCTCCTTCTAACAATCAGAGTTCTAAATAGCAGAAAACTACACCTGTACAAAAACAGTCTACACAAAAAGTGTAGTAAAGAAAATAAAATAATAGACTATCTAATCATATGTGAAAAAGCATACTAAGCACTAAAAAAAATTGAAAAAGAAGTATGGAAATGACTACAGGAAGATAAAAGGAAGAAGGAAAACTAGAACTTAGGAGATCTACAAAAAATCTTTCAACAAGAATACAAAAAGAAAAGAAAGAATAGATAAGAGGAATCCTATGCAAAGAAAATGCAGAAAAAATCTAGGCATTACTAGGCTCAGAAAGATTAACAATGAGATTCTGAAACCTTTTCTAGTATATTTAAATAGAATTAGTATATAAAGAAATTTGAAAATAAAGCAAAAATAAATATTTATTTTAGTCAGGAATCTGTCCTTCTGGAACTGGAAATTGTCCAATTTTAGAAGCATTCTCAAGTAATGTTCGTAATCTGGACATTGCAGCTGGCGAACTTGTCAATAATGACAAGACTTCTGAAGGTGGACTTTGAACATAACTTTTGTAAATAACTGAAAATAATTTCAATGCATTATGTTTATATGCACGCAGTAGACTCGAACCAGTAATCTATTTAGAAAAAAGTTAATTGGATAAAATAATTTAGTATAAATACTAGTAAAATTCTAATTAATCACCTGTAAGCAAGTATAAAGAAGCGAAGGTGTAATTTTTTGAGGCCTCAAGTTCATTAAACGCGCCAGATATGTCCAAGCGTTATCAATGTAATACGGATTTTTGAGTTCTGCAATACGAGAAATAGAGAAGTAAATAGGATACAGTTAATTAAATCAACGAATAACATATATATGGATTGTTAAACGTACGAGGATATAAAGGATCTGTTTGCATTATTGCACAATATAAGGCTACAATTGCACACATCCGATTAACATAGGCATCTTCACTCTCGTTTGATTTATATAACGTTTGTTTCTTATATACTTCTTGACTTTGGTTCTATAAAATAATAAATGTCTTAATTCTAATTTTTAGATAGTAATTTTTTTTAAGCAAAAATTATGAATAACCTACAGCCTTATGACTAGGATAGAGTGGTAAGACATATGGACATTTTTTAACTATGCGTGTTATTAAAAATTCCATAAATTCAGTGTGTTGTGTGGAAATCAACACACACAAATGGGCAAATGGGAAAGCAGCAGATTCCTTAGATACTACATCAACTTCTGCGTGTTTCTATAAAATAAATTTATAAAAAAAGTTAGGAATATTATCTATTTTAATATTTTTATTTATTGAATTTATTTATTCAGCAGCTTACTATGAACAAGCTTGCCAGATAACTACAGTCATTTTAGCAAGCATGATCGTCGTAAGAAACCGGATAAATGCCGTTATTGGCTTATTCACATCCAATAACCATTAATTACATAGGCAACACTATTATACAGACCACTACTCCTTTTGCAATATAGTTAATAAGAAAATAGTAAACGGCCGAATTGTTTTTATGGTTTTTCAGCACGGTGTCAAATTGAGAAGCCTAAATAAAGCAATAATAAACGGTTCAAAAAAAAATAATAAATAAAAATAAAAAATAAAATGTAATAAATAAATAAATAAATATCATAACATACTATTTTGATAATTTCAGCACGGTCATTCGTAAGAATATTTAGTCCCAGTGTAATGTTCTTTCTCGTATCGATAGTTGCAGATTTTATCTGAGAGTTTTTTGAAAATTTATCTTGTATATTTTTGAGCATAGTAGAATAATGCGCAGCTTGTTTCAAAATTTCGTTCGAAGCAAGATTATTAGTATTCTCTTCGGTCACAGGTTTGATATTTTCAACAGGTTTCTTAGCATTTTCTGCAACTTTTTGAGCTTCTTCCTTTTTCTTCCTTTCTTCAGCTAATGCAGCTTCCCGTGCCAGTTTTTGTTTTTGATTTTCTATCCTAAGTATTTCCTGTTTTTTTGCCTCTTCCACTTTTTTTTTTTGGTCTTCTTCGGCTTGTCTTTGCGCTTTAATCTTACGATCATATTCCTAACAAGATCGATTAAATCGATTAGAACAAAACATAATATAAAAATATATATATATATTTAGGTATAGCACTTACTTCAGCCATTTGTCTCCACTTAGCCTGTTCAGAATCAAACTGTCGTTTTCTTTCAATTCTTTCTTTTTCACTAAGTATAATAAAAATTTGATTTGCCCGAACAAAATAACATTAATATCTCAATAAGGTGTGTGAATAAAAAAATAAAGTATTTACTTTTCAGCGTCCACTTGATCCCAGTACTGCTGCCAATCTTTAAGAGCTTTTAAACGCTTCTGTTCCAAGTCTTCATATTTTTTACGTGCAATTGATTTTGCAGCATACGTCGCTTTTACAAATTCAAGTTCTTCTTGTACTATGGCCTCCTATAGTCATGAGCAAAATTATTATTAGCAGTTATAATTAAATAAGTCGTAAAAGATAATTACTTACAACTAACCGATCATTTCTCCATTTAAATATTTCACTTTTATAACGATCGTTCTCGCAAGTAACGAAATCTAAATCTTCCTGCCTTACTGGTTTTGGCATAATTTTAATGAGTTTAGAACTCGGCTTCAAATGTAAGACCCCGAATATATATATTTAGTATTTGGTATCACTGGGGCATGTGAAATCTTTAACCTATAGCAGATAGGCTAACATTCTCGTGATTATAAAATTCAAAAATTTTTACGTAGAATCTCGAGCGTGATACGTTATTTAGATTTTATGGTATGTATGCTTTAGTTTTAAAAATAACAATTCCAAAATAATGCATTTATTTAAGAAGACAATGAAAGCGGAACTCTATTTTCATTATACGTACGTACGGTATTTTTTTTTTACAATAACAGATAACTGTAATTTCTCTCAATTACTACCGCTACGTAAAGTGATACAAAAAATTTGATGCATTTCATCCAAATTTGGTTACTTTGTGATGCATCTATCATAAACGTAAATTTGAATTTGTCCGGATTCGACTCGTTCGAGTTAGTGTTCGGATCTGTTAAACTTTATACGTACGTATCCGAATTATCTTGATAATACTCAGAATTGTAAAATAGTAACTGCGGAGTAGTGATCCAAATCGTTAGTTGAAAAACCAACTAGTTGACAACTTTCCAACTAATCGATTTGGAAAATTTTGAAACAACTAATCGATTAAATCATCAACTAGTTAAATTCCGAGATATTCCGTCTATTCGGGTTGGTTCGATTAGTATCTGGTATTAGTTGCAACTATAGTTGGCAACTAATCGATTGGAAAAATTTTACCAACTCGGAACACTATCCCTGGCCAGCACTAATAGATATCCATCGGAATTGTAAATTTTATTTATTTTTATGTTACAGGTCAAATTGGTTTTTAGGTCAAGTTAAACTTGTTCCGAATCAAATTGATCAATTAAAAAACCCTGGGCGGCATCAACATAATTTTGGCCCACTCTAACCCTAAAATTCTACTAGAGATCAATTTGACCCGGGTCAAGTTTAACTTGACCTAAAAACCAATTTGACCCGTAACATATATATTTAAAACTTTATTGTTAAGTATTTGCTTTTAATAAACTCTAAATATTAATAAAACAAAAGTTTAGTTTAAAAATTAGGCACCGTAAAGAAGATAAAAACAAATACTCCGTGATTTGTGTAATAACATTTTACATCTAAATTAAAGTCATTTTAATGGCAGAAGCTTTATTTAAATAGAGAACTTATACAAAAAAATCAATACAGTATATTAAAATACAAAACTCTTTGCTATAGATATTGAATACTCGCACTCATCACTTTCTGACTTCTGGAGTTAACCTAAATCTGAACTAAACCCGATATAATGTTGTTTGTCTAGTTTTCCGAGATTTACGGAGCTTTAAAATTTCAGACTATACTCATCGTCTAATTTTTGGGGAGCTTCAGAAGTGAGAACGTTAAATGAATTCTTAATTTCAAACCGTTAGTCTTGTAATAAAGATTACGTCAATACAGAATGAGATAATTAAGAGATTATTCTTTTTATATATTTTAAACTAACTTTTTTAAGGTTCAGTTTCTGTAGTCATATGATACTTACAGAAATAAACATCATTATCTTACGTTTACCGTTATTATACGGCGCGCAGGTAAAAACAAGATCAGCGATTTAATTATATAATCTGAGATTGAATTTATAGATATACAGGATCGGTACATTATTTCTATTTATCATTATAAAAGTTTTTAATGTTGGACTTTTACGTATAATTACAATAAGTCCTGTTTACATTGTGTCGCAAACTATTTACTTATGTGTAAGTACGTATGTATCAGATATGTATCAGATATGTATAGTAAATGTAGGTGCCAAGCCCTAATAATGCATAGTTATGGCTGTGTTGCTATGGGAAAAAGTACAAAGAATTTAACTAATAAATTTCGTTTATGCCAACTTTTTCTTCTTGTGCGTACATATTTTCAACCAAAAACTTTATTTTGTTTAAAAAAATATCTATTCAATCATTAAAATTATCAAAATTCCCAATCATGCATATTACCAGTAAAACCAAAATTTTTTTAGCAATTTTATTCATATTCATTCTACATATTAACACCGTTTATTCGCACCGACATCATCATCATAATTATCGAAATAAACATAAGAATCATAAAGACCATCACAACGATACTGGGAAATATAAAGACCATCACGATGATAATGGGAAACATAAACACCATCACGATTATGATGGGAAACATAAACACCATCACGATGATGATAGGAAACATAAACACAATCACGATGATGATGGGAAACATAAAGACCATCAAGATTATGTTGGGAATCATATAGATTATCAAGATAATGTTGGGAAACATAGAGACCATCATGGTCATCATATTGGAAAACATGATCATGATGGCTTTTATCCAAAGCATTATTACTTTCACCATTATTATGAGCCTGATAGAACTATAGTTTGTGGTGATCTTTGTTTTATAAGTATGCTATTATTGGTAACATTCTATATTGGCGTCTCGATATTTATTATACGCCATTATTTATTGGAAGGTAGATGGGTAAAAAATGGTGGCTGGACCAAATTGTCGGACCTTGAAAGTGAAGGTCATGATGTATTACCGGTATATAGTGATAAAGATATTGTTGAAAATTTTAAAGATTCAGAAAAACATTAATGGGAATAACGGTAGAGATAATGAATTATTGAGTATTGGATGTTACCTGTTACGGTATAATAATTGATTTTTTTTTTTTTTTATTCATCAATTTGTATTTGCGGTAGTTTTTTTTTTTTATGTATTATTTTATTCAATATTTTATATTTTTACTTTTTTGAATATTGGCCCTTTCTAAAATTGAATATGCCAATTTTGGGTATTGCCCATTAAAGCAATAGTTGGATATAAATAGTTAGCCGATAGTTATAAATAAACGCACGTCATATTATTACGTTTTATCACGACACGGTATTATCCCAGTAATTTATAATTTTATCACATCGAAGCCACAAATAATATTTCTTAATCACCAGTCAGTACGTACGTTCTGGCCCCAAGCTTTTTTCACTTTGACTTGTCCCGTTCCAGACGTCCCATCTTATTCCATCGAATATCCCTATTTTAACTTATAAAATTACGTACTCTAAAGTTAAATTTTAAAAACTAAAACAGGTTATCTTAGTAAAATTTTGTACCATTGGCGTTTTTTTAAAAACTAAATATTTTGTCCCAACTTCGTTCCAACTATTCCGTGTACAAAACTGTCATCAGCTACGGTAAGATATAATTATGTATCTGCCACACATATTATTTATTCTAAACATTTTGAAGGAATTACTAACTGCTAACAGCTTTTTATATATATATATATTTTTTATGTATAAACACAAGTTCGAGTGTTTAATCTTATTATATTTAAAAATCGTGTAATAATATGAAATTGTATGTGTCGTTTACTGATTTCTGTCAATTCAAATCGACATGTGTCGCTTTTGAATTTCCACTGTTCAAAAATAACTTAAGTACATCATGGAAAATATAAATCTTTGCTTTTTGACTCGTAAATCCCTTGAATATATATTAATCAAGAAAATTCGATAAGCTGCTATTCTAAAGGTCAAATTAGGAATTTATTATAGAAATAAAGCAGATAACTAAACGAAATATGCATTCGAACCTCGTGAATTTGTAAAATATACAAATAATTGTCCTGTAAATTATTCACTCTACTTAAAATTAATAGGTATTAAAAAAAAACGGATACAACCTGTCGGTCACGATTTTTATCATTATTATTATTTTTTTTACGTAATTATTTTTGTTGTTTGTTTGTTAGCTACAATAATAAGAACAATATGCAAGATATATCCGATAAATATATCTATATTGAGTAGGAAACTGGTTATTGTTGCTGTTATCGTAGGCCAATTATTCACTAAGTTGAGGTTAAACTAGTGATTGTAAGGAAAATTGTTAGATTATGACAATTGTTGTATCATGGGTTGTGATAATTGTGCGTGGGCATGCACAACGGTTGTTTCCACAAGGGTTGTCGACAATCTTGTAACAAATTGAGAGACAACGTTGTTTAGTAAGGGTGGGAAGCGAAGTAGCTATTAGTAAATGAATAATGGTATTTAAAGGGTTTCTTTTGACTTTAATAAAGATCAGGCTTCGATGTCTTGAATATAAGAAAGATATTAGGAATCGAATTCTCAAAGTGTTGAAATTGAAAATTTATTGAACGATTAATTTTCTTTTATATTATATTTTTTTACTTTTATTGATAAAAGTTTTACTTCGTTACTTAACCAATACAATTAAACTCCTGAATTATATTTTATCATATAAACTAACCCTGAACCCCGAATAAACTAAAGATCAGTAACACAATTATTACATTGATTACATTGACTAACCCTGATCCTTAATAAATCGTTACAATTAAATATATCACTATCGTTGTTAATCACTTTATTGACCCCATTAAATTAATCAGTTGATACTTCTGATTAACTGACTAACTGACTTCCATAATCCCACGAGAACATAATCGATATACAACTACCAAAACTCTTTAAATCCAACGATAATCATCTTTAAGTTAACTATTGGAGTTAAACCCGGCACACATTTGTATAACGCTCTCCCAAAACAATAGTAACAATATCATGGCAATACTGAAATTACCAATCAAGTGCAGTAATTTCGGTTTCAGCTATCAGTGTCATAATCAACAATGTTTTAAAACATTTTATTAAATCAGATTAAAAAACATAAAAATCATTAAAAAACGATTTTTACCATCTCTATATTTTAAAATTTTGATTATTTTATCGTCACTATGGTATCTAGAAAAGATCAATTAAAAAATATTATTAATCTTGTTAAATATACTGAATCAAATGAAGATACAATGGATATCGATCAAGTTACCGAATTTGATAAACACTTAGCACTTTATCATAAAATTTTGAATTCTGAAATTCATTATAATCAAATCCCTAAATCCTATGATTGGGTTCAAAATTGTTTATTTAATTACAGAGATAAGGAGTTTAGAAAAACTTTAAGAATGGATAAATCGACCTTTTGGACATTAGTTGATAAAATTAAATTTCATCCAGTTTTTTATTCTAATTCGAATCATAATCAAACAGATATTGCTATACAACTTGCAGTTGTATTATATCGACTTGGATCTAATGCTTCTCTTTGGACCATTGCGACTTTATTTGGAAAATGTGAACAAACAGTTCTTAACTTTCTAGATCGATTAATTATTGCTATACGATCTTTGAAAGATGAATATATAGTTTGGCCTCAAGAAGATTATCGAAATGAAGTACATGAAGGATTTGAAAAATTTGGATTTCCAATGGTAATTGGAGCAATTGATGGTTCTCATATACCATTAATGGAAGCACCAAGTAAAATTAATAAAGACATATATATGTCACGTAAACATCGATATGGTATTCATCTACAAGCTGTTGTCGATCATAAGGGGCATTTTACTTGTTATGAAATAGGTTGGCCTGCATCAGTTCATGATGCAAAAGTATTTAAACATTCATTTATATATAGAAATAATAATCTTTTTTTTAAAAATGAAGATTATCTATTGGGTGATTCTGCATATCCTTTATTATTATGGATAATAACACCTTTTAAAGATCCACAAGGCCTAGATGCACAAAAACAAAAATATTATAATACTGTTCATAGCAAAACAAGAGTTGTTATTGAGCAAGCATTTGGTAAATTAAAAGCTAGATTTCCTTTTTTAAAATATATGAGATTAAAAGATACAACGAAAGGAACGGATATAATCGATATTGCTTTAATTTTACACAATTTTGTAGAAAAAAATAATGATGAATGGGAAGAAAATGATAATGAAATTGATGATTTTGAATTAATTTATGAATTCAATGAAGATGAAGATTTAATAAATAGCGATAGAAATAATGCAATAACCAAACGGCAAAACCTATTAGAATATATTTGTATGAATATGTAAAATTTTTTATGAGTTAAAGATAAATATAGTAATAAAAATCTATAATTTCAGATAAACATTTGTGCATTTATATTCGAACTACTGAATCCAATCTTTCATACTAAATAAGATAGTTATACAACATTGTCATGCAAAATAAGAAACAAAAGGTGTTAGAGCATTACATTTTTTAAATGTATATTCAATAGTTCTATATAGATTTACAATATTGCAATTTTCTATTATTATAAATACGTAGCTGCAGCAGTTGTGTAAACTAGAGATGGGAAAAAATGTTGCATATGAGATTAAAGTGCGAGCTTGAAATTAGTTGTGTTAAACTTAAAGGTATAGTGTAAATCTATTATAATTGTAGCAAGTTAGGCAGTACTTAAAACAATTTACGGCATAATGACTGATCGAATAATTGATTTTCCATTATGAGAAGCTTATTATAACTTAAATTAGGCTACACAAAGTTGATTTTTCGTTTGCAAAACCTGACTGACCTATTTTTTTCGATTTTTCAATTTTTTTTTTTTTTTTTTTAGTCCCATCCCACTTGTACTAATTATTCGATTTTCGATTTCTGTTATTTATTTTTTTTTTTCATCATTTTTACTGGTTTCACTAACAGAGACCTTATTAATAATAATTATCCAATATGGTTAGCAAAAAAAAAAAAAAAAAGAAAACCGACCCAATTTTTCAGATTCTATGTTATGCAAAACGAAAAATTAACTTTGTATGACCTAACAATAGAGATAATAGGGTTTAATGGTTATACGAATAGAGCTTAGAAACTAGTATCAATTGGCTCTATTCAAAGTCCATTGTCCTTATTCGCAACTTCATCAGGCTCTATTGGGCTTCATTGAGCTCTATTGCCTTTATGTTCACTATTTAAGTAAATAAACTAGTAAATATTTACATGTATTTGAGGTGTCTAAAGAGAGTTATGACTTTGAGTAGTCATATCTAATCCAAATTGCAAATCTAACTCATTAATTAATCGTTTATTATCCATTGTTGGGATCTGAATAGGTCCCCAACCCAAAACCACGGTTCTTCCTGTCAATTTATTTAATTATATTAGATAT